AATAAACCAAAGTTTTCGAATCTTTGGCTCATAATTTCTTCGGTACCCGAAAAGAGTCTTTGGATATTCCGATTTAAAAAATAACTCTCCGTTCCAAAAAAGATTTGAATCCATGGCACAAAAAAATAACCCCTTTATATAACCGCTAGGCACTATCTCTTTGGTTTTTGATATATTAATGTATCACAAATTCAATTATTGCTAGCTTAAAAATTATAGAATCTCGACATCCATTTGTATATATTTGGGCCCCATGCTCGATTTAAATTCAATACTTTTACTGTGTGTTTAAATAACTGATTTTTGAGAATTTTTACACTATTTCAAAAATTAATTATAAAAGTATTTTTTTACAGTATTAAACAATTTTCATAATCATATACTAGTTTATACATTTCACTATCATTAATTGATTAAAAAGTGCATAGAAAATCAATTTTTATGGGAAAAATCCTTCAAAATCAATTTTATGGGAAAAAATCCTACAGAATCAATTTTCATGGGAAAAAATCTTAGACAATCGCTATTTTTAGAAAATGAAAAAATATCGTTTTATTATAAAAGATCAATAGCTAATGATAGTATTTTCTTTCGTAATTTTTTTCAGTTCGACATATTAAGTACTCAATTTGTAACCAACAATGATTAATAAGTTCTATAAAAATGATTTGATAACTATAATTTCTTTAAAATTTAAAAGAAAACACACATTTTTCTTGGAAAACACACATTTACGAACAATCAATCATCTTCGATTTCGATATCATCATTTTTATTTGTACCACCTGCCACGTGTTTTAATGTCTACCATGGCTCCTCTCTTTGATTTACTAATTATTCATTTAGTTCGCAAATAAATTGAAAAACTAACACACGTAAAATCCTTACCAAAAAAAAAAACACACACGTAAAATCAATTATATAAAGAATGCCCCATGAGCCATGAGACCACGAGAAACAAACCAATAATAATCAAACAAAAAAAAAATCATTTTCATCTCCGACCCCCAAAAAAAATGGTGTTAGTGACATCAGAGCCAATTAAGAGCCAATCAAAGACGGTATGCGTGATAGGCGCAGGACCGTCAGGGTTAGTGTCGGCGAGAGAGCTAAAGAAAGAAGGACATAAAGTGGTGGTGATGGAGCAAAACGACGACGTAGGAGGTCAATGGCTATACCAACCAAACGTGGAAGAAGAAGATCCATTGGGAAAATCAAAAACCCTAAAAGTACATAGCAGTGTTTACTCATCCTTGAGGTTGGCTTCGCCGAGAGAGGTAATGGGTTTCTCCGATTTCCCTTTCACGGCGAAGAAAGGAAGAGACGAGAGGAGATTCCCGGGGCATGAGGAGCTTTGGTTGTATCTTAAGGACTTTTGTGAAGTTTTTGGGTTAAGAGAGATGATTAGGTTTAATGTTAGGGTTGAGTTTGTAGG